GGCATTTAAACATAGCAATGTCCAACTAAATCCAAACTAAATGTATGTTCAATTCAACTTCCCCTTAGCTGTGTTCCAAAAATGTCTGTAGTTATTCCACTGCCGCCTTACATGAGGAATAGTTGCAGGGGAAAGAAAAAGTGGTTTCAAGTGATTGTGATGAGTCAGTTTTACCTTTGCAAAATTTTGAAAACATATGACCATGCAGCTATACTGCTGCCAATCTAGGAAGGGGCCTGTTGAGGGAGAGGCTATGAAGCGTCATCTCCATGAGCTAGAGCCATGAAGCTAGAGTCTGATTCCGTGAGTTAGAGTCAGATCGCTCTGGTTCCAAGTCCAGCTCTAGCACTTAAGCACTTAACAACCACAGGACCTTAGGTAAATTACTGTAAGATGGGGGTTAATAACTACTTCACTGGGTTATTATAAGAGTTACACGAGATAGTAGTTGTAAAGCATTTAGAATAGTGCTTCACATAGTAAGCACTTAATTAACACTTCCTAGAAGAGCTTATCCAGTCTCATGGCTTTTAGTACTGTCTATATGCTAATGACTCCAAAACTGGATATTTGTGTCTAGGCTTAGTCTATCTCTGAAAGATCTTTAAAGAACTAACAATAATGTTAGACTACTTATTATTTTACTACTTTTAAAAATTAGTACTGTAATACCAAAACTAGCTGGATGTGGTGGCACGTTCCTGTATTCCCAACTGCTCACAATGCTGAGGGGGGAGGATCACCTGAGCCCGGGAACTGAGGTCGCGGTGAGCCATAATTGTGCCACTGCACTCCAGCCTGGGCAACAGAGCAAGACGCTGTCTCAAAATAAAATAAAATTAGTATTGCATATTACAAGTTTAAAAATACATAAAAAGTAAGTAGTTTTGGAACCCTTGTGGACTACTGGTGGGAATGTAAAATGGTACAGCTGCTATAGAAAAAAAGTATGGGGGTTCCTCAAAAAATTAAAGATAGAATTATATGAACCAGCAATTTCACTTCTGAGTATACACTGTACCAAAAATAACTGAAAGCAGGGCCTTGAACTTTTATGTTCTGGATGTGGGATAAAGAAATAACTTATGAGTCTACAAGGTTGGGCAGGTTTTTTTTGCTTGTTTTTTGAGATGAGGGCAAGACGCTTCTGTTTCAGCTCTGTTGCCCAGGCTGGAGCTCAATGGAGTGATCTCGGCTCACTGCAACTTCTGTCTCCTGAGTTCAAGTGATTCTTCTGCCTCAGCCTCCCTAGTAGCTGAGATTGCAGGCCCCCACCACCATGCCTGGCTAATTTTTGTATATTTAGTAGAGATGGAGTTTCACCATGCTGACCAGGCTGGACTTGAATGCCTGACCTCAGGTGATCCACCTGCCTCAGCCTCCCAAAGTGCTGGGATTACAGGCGTGAACCACCACGCCTGGCCTGTCCAGTTATTAAAATGGAATTCTACTCAGATTTTTCAAAAAGATAGATCTTGGTCGCTTGGCAGATTGTATTACCAAATAGCATTTGTGCACCTGGTGAAATCTTGGAGAAGCCATAGGGAAGGCAAGTTCTATGGTTTTACCTGATAAGAGAACGTATAGGGAAAAACAGTAATGATATAATTTACTTTGTTCCAAGCATATAGTTATCTCATTTAACCTTCAAAATATGTGTTTGTGGTAATGGGTATTTGGTTCATTTAAACACAAGGAAACTGAAACTGAAACAGAGAAGCATCTTGCCCTCGGTCAAGCATCTGGTGTGTAGACAAGTCATTTTTATTCCAAAGCCTGAGTTTTCAACTATATCATATTACCACCTCCTGGAATACAGTGTGGAAATTGTTCCTAAACCTCAATAAACTTTCCCATTTTCCTTGTTCCCACTTGTTACCACATGAAATAATACAGTTGTATGTATAACTGGAAGAACATGGACTTTCATACAATTTTGAATGATAAACAGTTCCTGATAAAGTTAATAATAACTCAGTGATTTATTGCATTACATTGAGAGCATGTTGCAAGCTGTTTAACTAGCACCCTTTTACAGGGAGTCACACATATCACCACAGAAGTATGATCATGAAAACAAAATTTAGAGAGGTAATATTTACATTGGCTTTAGCAATGGGGGTATGGCTATGTCATAATGGAATCACAAAGTACACATATCTTAAAGTCTACTTATTAGCAAATGATAGGACAAAAATGCTGCTGATGAAAATATGTCTCCCTAAATGTTCTATAACATTTAACAACCTAAAGCAACAAGGGAAAGGTAAATATCAGTAATTTAAAATTAAAGTGGAAGAACAGCAGCAATTAAAAATCATGACAAACTCAAGACAACACCAAGGATTTGATGATCTGATAACAGTCTATCCCCCAAGTTCAGGGCATTCTAGCTGTGTTAGGCCATTTGTGCATTGCTGCAAAGAAATACTTGAGACTGGGTAATTTATACAGAAAAGAGGTTTAATTGGTTTATAGTTCTGCAGGCTGTACAGGAAGCATGGCACCAGCATCTGGTTGGCATCTGGGGAGGCCTCAGGGAGCTTTTACTCACAGTGTAAGGTGAAGCAGGAGCAGGCACTTCATACGGTGAGAGCAGGGGCAAGAGTGAGTGCAGTGGGAGGTGCCACATACTTGTAAATGACTAGATCTCATAAGAACTCATTCAATATCACAAAGACAGCACCAAACCATAAGGGATCTGCCCCCACATGAACCAAACACTTCCCACCAGGCCCTACCTCCAGCATTAATTCAACATGAGATCTGGGTGGGGACAAATATCCAAACTATATCACCAGTTATCTGTGTGAAGCCATGAAGAGAAGGAGGTAAACTGAGCTTGCCAAGATTGGCCTGGCAGACAGACTTCCTTGTGGAATACTGAAAATTTAAACTCTTGTAACAGCCCAGTGTTTGTTTATGAACATCACATTTTATAATGGAAAATTCGTTTAGTAGTTTACTAGTGAAAATGTAGGCTTATAAAATTATGAATTTTGGGGTTCATTTGAGGTCACAGGCCTGTCAGCAGATGCTGGTTCATTTTAAAGAATCCCTGTGTAGGGGGAGAGGCATAGAGAATTAAGGTCAGAAAAGGCTGGTCTTCAATACCCACTTATGAGACTGTGAGCAAATTCTTAGCTGCTCTGACCTTTAGAATCTGTGCCTGTAGTCCCAGCTACTCAGGAGGCTGAGAGGCAGGAGAATCACTTGAACCTGGGAGGCGGAGGTTGCAGTGAGCTTAGATCACACCACTGCACTCCAGCCTGGCAACAGAGCAAGACTCCGTTTCAAAAAAAGAAAAAAAATATTGCATCTCATTGTAAATACTTTTTACCTGAATAAAAAATGTTTAGTGAAAGGTATATTGAGGAGCCAGGTGTGGTGGCTCATACATGTAATCCCAGCACTTTAGGAGGCCACAGTGACAGGATTGCTTGAGGACAGGAGTTCAAGACCAGGGAATGCAGGGTGACCCCATCTCTATAAAATTATTTTAAAAAATTAGCCGAGTGTGGCGGTGTGCCCCTGTGGTCCTAGCTACTCAGGAGGCTGAGGTGGAAGGACTGCTTGAGCCCAGAGGTCGAGTTAGTGAGCTATGATTGCACTGCTACACTCCAGCCTAGGTGACAGAGTGAGACCCTGTCTGGAAAAGGAAAGTGTATTGGATTTGAAATTCAAAAAAGAAGAATCTGAGAAAGCATGTTTTACAAACTGGAAAGCACTGTTCAGACCTTAGTTGCTCTTAATATGCATGAAGCTTAAAGAAGGCAGAGCTGCAAAGCCTACTTTACCTTTAAAATCTGGGTGCCCCTTTGCTGGTTAGAGAAGCAGACCAGAGGACCCAGTAAAGAAGAGAGGACCTGAAGGTGCTCTGGTTCTTGATGGCCTTTGACAGCCCCCCATCCCCTGGTTTCTCCCTGTCTCTGGCCACTCATCAGTCTCTCTAGGGTTCACTTGCTTTTCCTCTGTTTATCTTTTAAAGGCTAGGGTCCCTGGAGCTCTGTCCTTACAACTCTTGTCACTCTACATGCTGCTGACCAGCTATGTAGCTCCAGTTCTCATTGCAATTCCCTAACCTCCAATTCAGAGTTTTTTTCCTCGCTAGACCCATATTCAGTCAATCAACAACTATTTATGGGGTTATCTTCTTATGCCAGGTATTGTTCTTGGCACTGGGCCACATCAGTGGATGAAAGAGATGAAGACCTTTATCTTCATGGAGCTTATATGCTTAGATCACTCTCCTTGGATGTACTCAAGACTCAGTCTTTCTCATATTCTTTTTATTTTTATCCCTTGCTTCTCCCCAACCCTAAGCTTGCTCCTACCATGTACCCTCTATCTCTATGAAATGCACTGTTCTTCTCTCAGAAATCTGGGAGTTATCCCTGACTCCTCTTTAGTAAATCACCATATGTCATAGGACAGTCCATCAGGAAGAAAATAAATAAATAAATCACCATATGTTAACTATTCTGATTCCTTAATTTCTTTCAACCCTCCCACCCACCATTTCCCTGTATTGTCACCACCCCTCCTCCATTCTCCTTCTCACCTGGCTTACTGTTCTCTCTGTCTTGTCCCTGCTTGTCATTCACCATACAGTAATTATCAATAGGATGATTATAAAATACAAATCAGAACTGGCTGATTTCTGCCTAAACCTGTCCAGTGGGCCTGCTAGTTAAAAATCTAAATTCTTTACCTTGTCCTTATGTCCTCAATTGTCAGACACAGTAGTGACAAGCATAGCTGCTGAAACCTGGGTTCAAAGCCAAGTTTGATCTGGCATGATGCTGGGCAATTTTTTGAATCATCTCTATGCCTTACTTTCCTATCTATAGCATGGGAGTGATAACAGTTCCAACCTCACGTCGTTGGGGGATTAAATTTGTTACTTCATGCAAAGCACTGAGAATAGTGTCTAGCCCTCAGTGTACGCACAAGAAGAGCTAGTTTTCTCTCCTATAGGGTTGCTGTAATGTTTAAATGAGTTAAAACAAGCAAGAGGCCAGCTGGGGCGCGGCGGACTGCGCGGGCGGTGGGACTCCGCTTAGTTTCCGGTGCGGCGAACACCAAAGTCCGGGAACCGAGGCATTTTCAGGTTTTAGGGTTGTTACGAAGCTGCAGGAGCGAGATGGAGGTGGACGCACCGGCTGGTGATGGTCAAGACGGTCCCCGGGAGCGGCGAGGCCAGAGCGAGGCAGGGAGGCAGAACCTCGATGTGCGGCCTCAGTCCGGGACAAACGGGCTTCCTAAACACTCCTACTGGTTGGACCTGTGGCTCTTCATCCTTTTCGACGCGGTGGTATTTCTCTTCGTGTATTTTTTGCCATGAGTCATTTCGTGATACCCATATTAAGAAGTTCGTTCTTGAGTGAATTCTGAAAATGGCTACAAACGTCTTGAATAAAGAAGACAGGACTCTCAACAGAAGAATTTCAAATCTCCAAGGGACCCTTCCTTTCATTTTACACTTTGTTACTAATTTGCAGAACTCTATTAAATTGGTAGGATTTCACCCATTCCTAAGTTGTTAAAATTAAACTCTTTGGTTCATGTTTAAAAACGTTTCAGACATCCGATGGCTTTACAGGGGCTGAATAGAAAAACATTTGTACTTAAAGGTTTTGTGTATTCATTAAAAAAAAAAAAAAAAAAAAGCAAGAGGCTTAGCACAGTGTCTCGCCCTTGTAAATGTCTTGTAATGTCAGTCGTCGGTTGTCATTGCCCCTCTAACCTCACTTCGTGCCCCTTTCCATCCAAACCTGACTGGGAGCCCTGATGGACTGGCTACAGTTTTCCCTCTTACACCTCTAAGCTTTGGAGTTCCTCCCTTGCCACCTTTTTCCTGGCCAGCTCCCACCAATCCCTCAAGTCTCAGCTCAGGCAATCCCTGGCGCTCGACTTGGCTGGGCTGATTGTTCCCCCTTAGGACCTGCATTTACTTCTAACATAGCACTGTTCACACTTCTTGTCACTGTTTATTTAAAATGTACCGAGAAACCCCCATCAACAAGTGAGGATAAACAAAATGTGACATATATATACAATGGGATATTATTCATCCTTAAAAAGGAAAGTATTTCTGCTTACACCAATGACATGATTGAAATTTAAGGACATTATTGGAAATAAGCCAGTCACTAAAGGACACATACTGTATGATTCTATTACATGAGGTACCTAGAATAGGCAAATTCATAGAGGCAAAAAGCAGAATAGTGGTTATCAAGCCCAGGGGATGAGGAGATGAATGGGAAGCTGTTGTTTAATGGACACAGAGTTTCCGTTTGGGAACATGAGAAAAGCCAGGGAAATAAATAGCAGCAATGGCCAGGCATGGTAGCTCATGCCTGTAATCTCAGCATTCTGCGAGGCCGAGGTGGGTGAATCACTTGAGGCCAGAAGCTCGAGACCAGTCTGGCCAATAGGGTGAAACCCTGTCTCGACTATGAATACAAAAATTAGCTAGGCCTGATGGTGGGCACCTGTGATCCCAGCTACTTGGCAGGCTGAGGCAGGAGAATCGCTTGAACCCAGGAGGTGGAGGCTGCAGTGAGCCAAGACTATACCACTGTACTCCAGCCTGGGCAACAGAGTGAGACTCCATCTCAAAAAAAAAAAAAAAAAGTAGCAATGGTTGCACAATGTTGTGAATGTATTTAATGCCACTGAATGGTACACTTAAAAATGATTAAAATGGTAAATTTTACATGATGTATATTTTACTAAAATAAAAAATAAATAGATAAATGTACTGAGAAACAGTTTTAGCCTCGTGGTTCTCATCCTGGCTCCACTAGGCTATCAGGCTGTGTGATCTGGTAGGAAGTATCTGAATTGTCTACACTTTAGTGTCTTCACCTATAAAAACAGGCAAATTTCCCTCATACAATTGTTTGTAGATTACATGAAGTAATGTCTGTAGAATACTTGATATAGTGTCTGGCTAATGGTAAGCACTAATAAGTGTTTTCAGGTGCCTAACACCTTAGGTGCTCAATGTATGTATAGGCAATGAATGAATGACTGAAAAGTCTTCTATTTCAAGTCTCTACCTCAGCAATCCTTAAATATGGTCTCAGAACACACAGAGATCCCCAAAACCTCTTTCAGTTGTCCATAAAGTTAAACCCACTTTCATAATAATACTAAGATATTATTTGCCTTTTTCAGTCTCATTCTCACACAAGTATACACAGTGTGAAAAGTTCATTGATGATTTCAGATTCCACATTGCAACAACCTTTAAGAAACTCCCACTCGTCAAGTTTTAATGTGGTATCAAAGAATATTCACACTGATCTGAAAAAAGCAATTAGAATACTCCTGTCTTTTCTAACCACACATAAGATTTTTTAAAATTATACTTCAACCCAAAGAACACACTGAAACAGATTGAATGTAGAAGCAAATATCCAGCTGTGTTCCATTAACCTAGGTAGTAAAGAGATTACAAAAATATAAGGAATGCTACTCCTACCACTATTTTCTTTTTGCTTTACAAAGTATAGTTATTTTTCATGGAAATCTGCTAGTTGTATCACAAACATAATTTATTAAGGTTGTTTTAAAATAAATTAATAGGGACCGGGTGCAGTGGCTCACGCCTACAATCCCAGTAGTTTGAAAAGCTGAGGCGGGCGGATCGCTTGAGGTCAGGAGTTGGAGACCAGCCTGGTCAACATGGTAAAACCCCTGTCTCTACTGAAAATACAAAAATTACCTGAGCATGGTGGTGGGTGATTGTAATCCCAGCTACTTGGGAGGCTGAGGCAGGAGAATTGCTTGAACATGGGAGGCAGAGACCAGTGAGCCGAGACGAGATTGCACCACGGCACTCCAGCCTGGGCTGGAGAAAGACAAGACGCCATCTCAAAACAAAACAAAACAAAACAAAAAGATTAATAAATTATTTTATTATTTATTTTTGAGACGAGGTCTTGCTCTGTTGCCCAGACTGGAGTGCAGTGGTGCAATCATGGCTCACTGCAACCTTACCTTCTGAGTTCAGGTGATTCTCCAGAGTAGCTGGGACCAGTGGCATGTGCCACCACACCCAGCTAATTTTTAAACTTTTGTTTGTAGAGCCGGAATCTCATTTTGTTGCCCAAGCTGGTCTTAAACTCCAGGGCTCAAGCAATCCTCCCATCTCAGCCTTCCAAAGAGTTGGAATTGTAGGCATGAGCTACCATGCTTGACCTAATACTTTGTAACTTCCAATTTTAATTTCTTTCTTTCTTTTTTCTTTTTTTTTTCAGATGGAGTCTCGCTCTGCCACCAGGCTGGAGTGCAGTGGCACGATCTCGGCTCGCTGCAACCTCTGCCTCCCAGGTCCAAGCAATTCCACTGCCTCAGCCTCCTGAGTAGCTGGGACTACAGGTGCACGCAACCATGCCCAGCTAGCTTTTTATGTTTTTGTAGAGACAGGGTTTCACCATGTTGGCCAGGATGGTCTTGATCTCCTGACCTCATGATCCACCCACCTTGGCCTCCCAAAGTGCTGGGATTATAAGCATGAGCCACAGTGCCCAGCCCCAACTTTAATTTATAATATGGTTAATATATATAACCCACATAAACAACATTCTTTGGGGTTCTCAATAATTTTTAAGAGTGTAAAAAGGTCCTGAAACCAAACAGTTTGAGAACTGCTCTCTTGCCTTGCCCTTGAACGGCCACCAACCCATCCAGGGCAGCTGGCCTCAGCATGTGCTTTAATACTGTACAGGATGTGGAGGCCACCACCTCCTGGAGCAGCTGGTTTTATCTTTGCACTACTCTGTCTGCTAAGAAGTTCTGGCAGTGAGTCAAAGATCTGTCTCTTGGAGGCTCCCCACTGATTGGTCTTAGCCCCACTCCTTGGTTTTACATACTGCAGTTTGGAACTCTCTTCCAGGTCTGGAAGATAGTCATCGATTGCTCTTTGTGGTGGCCCCAGAGGGAATCAGCCCTTCCTTCTGGTGACTAAAGTGCAGATGCATTTTTCTGAGTCAGCCGGTGATTTGCAGGCAGCATTGCCAAGCCAGATAACTCACAGCTGTTTTCCCAGGAGCCAGAAGATCATCTCCAGTCTCATGCCAAATTTGAGAAATTCATGTTGTTGTTGCTGTCCCCAATAAATTAATTTTTCACATTATAAATCACATGTGCTTAAGGAAAATAAAGAAAAATAAAAAGTGAAGAGCTTTGAAAAGAAAATTTGGTCACAATTAACCCTGATTTTCTTGTCTTGGCATCTCTCCTTTTTGGGCTTGCCCTGAATACCATTCTTTTCATACAGTTTTTACAAGCAGATACGTGCACCATGCCAGCCTTGCAAGGTCTGTGGGGTTGACAGGGCGCCCACTGCTTGGTGGAGTGGCGCAGCTACTGGCAAGTTAACAACTCCCTGAGGTCAGCTGAGGCAGGGCACTCAGAAGGAACAGGAAGCTCCTGCAAAGAAGTCTAATGCTTCTGCCATCTGAAGACACTTCAGACCAGATCTCTTCCAGCTATGTGGGGTTAGAGGAGGCAGACACTACTACAGCAGTGACTGATAAATTTCTTTTTGCATTTTTTTGGGGGGATAAAATAAAAAATTCCTCTGGAAATTCTACTTCTGAGAATCTGTCCTAAGAAATGATGAAAGATTTAGACAGCATTATGTGTCTATCATTATTCATAAAACTTGGAAATAAAACTAAATGTTCAACAATAAAGGTTTAGTTTTAAAACTGTGTGACTGTATATTCTGTGCTGGTTGAAAATACTAGACATTTATGAAGTCTTTAATGACATGGGAAAATTCCCAACATAAAATGTTAGTTGCCCTTGCATTATGGCTGGCATATGTATAGTTCCTGTTGATCAAAACTGAAAAAAAGCAGGTATTAAGAACATTTTAAAAAGGAAAACACACACACACACACACACAAAGCAGGATACAAAACTCAATTATATAAATATTTTTGTGACAGGTGGGAAAAAAAGGTCATCTTAATCTTTGGCACCAATAGATGTCATAAGGAGAAAACTATCTTAGTGAAAACATTTTAAACTCCCAGCAGGCACAGATGTCAGCAGATTCCCAGTTCAGAGAAGGGGAAGCTGCTTTGCATGAAGCAAAGAGGAATTTGGTTTATTGCTTCTGAAAAGGAAGGGGAAGGAGGAAGTTATTGGTCAGGGTGGTCACAATTGCAAATGACAGAAATTTAACTCTATCTGACAAGAGTGGAAAAAAAAAAAAACCCAGGTATCTAGTTAGACATGTTTGGATTCAGGGACTAGAGCTCAGACATATCTGAGCTCTCTCTTCATGTCTTGACTGTTTTCCTGTGTCTTGATTCATTCTCAAGCAGGCCTTCACATGGGGTGGCAAAGACACCAGGAGCAATGTTGATCTTCCTATCAGAGACCCTGGGGGCAATAATCCTTCACTCGCCAAGCAGAAGCCTGTCCCTGAGCTGCAATGTGGGGATGGGGGAGGGGGAGGGGGCGGGATGTTAGGGGGCTGGGCGGGAGGGATGCAGGGATGCACCGACAGGTCGCTTGTTTGGATCACTGTAACAGGGTGGGATCATCCCTGCTCAAGCCTTTTGAGAGAAGGGGTGAGGGTGGTTCCCCAAGGGAAAGCTGTTTCTT